CACACAGGGAAAAGAAACTTCTCTGGGGAGCCCAGTTCTACCCTTTGTGGCCTAGGACCTGACACACTGACTCTGTCTGATGCAGTCACCAATGGGTCTCCAGAGCCCACTCAGAAACTGGCACACAGCAGGTACTCGGGGGTTGGCTGGATTCATTCATTTTACACATATTTGAGAGCCCAAAAAGGAACAAACGGTGGTTGAATCACCGGGCGTATGGGAATAAACCAATGTCAGAGTCTCCAAGAAGGTTTACATTCTCATAGAGGCCATAAAGAGATCAATACAGCCCAGGGCAGGAGGAGATGAGCCCAGAAAGGACAGGAAAGCATGTAAGGGAGGCAGGGCTTGGGGGAGAGGGGAGCGTGGCTGCCGCTGAAGTCAAATGGTGGGAATGAGGCTCACAGAAGTTGCTGGGGCAGCAGAGAAATGAATAAAACAATGGAATGAGTCCCATAGACACTTGAGGGAACAGCATTGCAGAAAGAGGGAAGAGCAAGGCCAACCCTCTGAAAAAATAAGCAAATGGATGCAACAGTGAATCTATAGGACTAACCTCCCTATCCTTCCAAACCCAAGCTTCCCGACTTCTATTTCACCTGAGACTAAAGATTTGCCCACATCATCTCTGAAAGAAATATCCTCAAGTTCTCATTCTGAGCAAACAGCACCCTCCCTGGCTAAGAATGATGGGCGGGTGGGGGCGGGTGGAGGGTGAGGACGAAGTATAAAAGATGTATAAAAAGATGAAGGATGTATAAAAAGATGAAGGAGTTCAAGAGAAGGGCACGATTATGGTGAATTAGAACCGATGTCCCCTAAGAAGTGGACTTGCTCCAAGGAGCGGGAGAGAATTATTTCCAAAGCATTTTTCTTCATACACAGTTTTTACTTTCAACGTGATGAGAGAGACAAGGCAGTTCTAGAGAAAGAACATCATCCTGAGGTCAGCAAAAATTGCTTTCGGTAGAAAAGCTATTACCAAATTTTAAAACACAATAAAAGAGTTTAATAAGGTGCCTAGCTACAAAATAAATCTATAAAAATCAATAGCTTTGTTTTACACCAATAATAACCTGACACAAAATGTAAGGGGAGGAAAATTCCATACACCATCACGATGGTAAATATGAAATACACAGGACAATCTTCACAAGGCATGTCAACGTCCTAGATGAACACTTCAAAATGTACTTGCAGAGAGAAGACATCATGTTCATTAAAGGGAACAATTGAGATTGTGGTTTTCATTTTCCCTGTTGTAATTTTCATTACCTTTGTATTAATTTGCTCTGATGTCTGTATTCCCCACTATGCTGTAAACTTAATGATGGCAAAGACTCGGTTCCATTCTTTGCTGGGTACATATCCAAGTACATAGCCAAGTCTTGGGACACAGGAGGTGTTCAATACACATTAGTAGGATTTATGAGTGAAGATGGAGATGATCACAAAACTAAGTTGTCTTCAAGTGACCTCCAGAAAAATCCAGGATTCTGCCCTGAATCAAAAGAATGGTTTCAAAACATAGTGATTCTCGGGCAATCAGGAATTTAATTCTGCCAACAGAATATTCCTGGAGCCTCAGCAAAGAGTGTACATCCCAACACATTGAGGCATAGTAAAAGTGAAAAGGATGCTTCCGAGAAAATTATCATCTTGTGAAGCAGCAATAGCCAGGAGGCTCCTCTGACTTTTCCCAGCAGTCCTGGGGGTCAGAGAGGCTCCTTGAAATGTTCCAGAGACTTCTGGGAGAGCAGTAATTCCTCCAGAACTTCCAACATTGATTACATTGACAATATCATAGAAGGAAATGCTTGTTTGAAACCAAACCTAACCTGATAGCTGCAGCCCTTTGGCCTTTATAGAGGTGGAAATCAGAGAGCATAATCCACAGAGAGGTGAAACTCAGTTTCCATTCCACTTCTTCTTCTTGACACTGGGAAGGAAAGGAGAAGGAGCTACCCTTGAAATGGATACCCCACGGTTTAGCAGAAGACATTGATGAGTTTTCAGTCTGCAAGAAGAGGTCTAGAACCCAGTACTGGGGGCAAAAAACAGAGAGCACATAATCCTTCTGCATACGGAAAGGATTTGCTTTGAGGAAGGAGATGCCATGAGCAGAACAGGAAGCCAGAGAACAAACAAAATGGCAACAGAACCCTGGAGCCCATGCTGGTGAGAATTGTCAAGGGATTGTCAGAAGAAGAAGTCCCAGTGCTCAGTTAAGTTAGGTTCATAAACAGATAGTTATATGAATTGAAGAAAAGGAGCCAAGTTCCACGTGTAGATTGGTACAAAGACTAGGAATTGGCTGTGAGAGGGAAGAGTTCAGCGAGGCTTTGAGTTCTGCCAGGAGGCAAACTCGGCTGGCAACAATCACAGGGAGATTGGCGGGAGGTAGGGAGGGCTGAGGGGGCAGGTGGATTACTTGGTGAAACTTGCAAGGAAGGGCCAAGACGGCTCGTCTGAGCCAAGGCCACCCTACCGGCAAGTCCCTGTTAGCCACACAGAAGGGGACAGTCTTGCTATTCCTTGCAGGACAAATCACCCTTGGAGAGCTACAGCCTGAGACGTTTACAACCTAGAGCTTCTCTGTAAGTTATCAGGAGACAAGTGAGAGTACAAATACAGCAGATGAAGGCTGATGGAAAGAATTTGGGGGATTTGGGCTAAAAAGAGAAGTCCATGGGGGAACAAAATGGTCATCTTCAAAACATGGATGGAGTGTACTTATTATTGTTATGATTCTGGAGGGCAAATCGGGGTTAAAAGGTGCAAGTGGGAGGCCAGGTACAGTGGTTCAAACCTGTAATCCCAGCACTTTCGGAGGCTGAGGCAGGCAGATCAACTTGAAGTTCGAGACCAGCCTAGCCAACATGATGAAACCCTGGCTCTACTAAAAAGTACAAAATTTAAAATTAGCTGGACACGGTGGTGGGCACCTGTAATCCCAGCTACTTGGGAGGCCGAGGCAGGAGAATCACTTGAACCTGGGAGGTAGAGGTTGCGGTGAGACAAGATTGCAATACTCCATTCCAGCCTGGGGGGCAGTGAAAGACTCCATCTCAAGAAAATAAAAATAAAAAAAATAAAAGTGGAACTAGCAGGAAGAAATAACTTGCCTCAATGCAAGGAAAATATTTCTGGCAATTCAAGAAGACAGAATGAGGGTGCCTTTCCGTGCACATCGGTTCCTCTCTCACTGGGTAAGGTGGGTCCACAGGGCAGAGGAGGCAAGAGCCCGGCTCCAGGGTTTGAGGAGGGGCGTGGGGAATCTCTGGGGCAAGAGGAGGTGCTTCCCCGGGATCTCTTGATAGAATTTGTCAAGGGTCCCAGCATGAACAGCAGCCCCAAGTGCCTCTGTGGGAAGTGGGAAGTGGGAAGTGGGAAGTGGGAAGCGGAGCTCCTCACAGACAGAACGCAGCTCCTCACCGCTTTGGGGAGCATTTCTGGGGTAAGAACAGACACTCTTGAGCAAACTCGGGGACAGTCAGACAAGGCCCTTACTGACCGTCAGGTGGGCTCTTCCCAGGGGAAGAGGTGGCCAGAGCATCTGCTTTCCAGAGTCACTGACTTCATGTCACAGAATGGAGGAACCATGGGGTGCTCCCCTATTTAGAACGGCTCTCCGAGCTCTCAGCCCTGCCTAAGGGGCATTTGTGCTGAGAGCCCATAGGATTGGCTGGAAGGGTGTGGGAGCAAAAAGCCTGAGTGCACCACTAGAGAGATGCAAAGGGACAGGACGTATCGTGACTGTCTTGGGAAAGGTCTTCTCCCTTCCTGTGCAGCAAGGGCCCAGGGAAGTGGCGTCTAAATCAGTGACTGTGTTGAGGGCGATTACAATGAGAGAATCGGCATCGGCCACCATGCTCAGAGGCTCAAGGCAGCCCCCATTGCTCACAGTGGTCCCCCAGGTGCTGCTGACTAACCTGGTGCCACTGCAGTCAGCACAGGATCAGGAGCAGGAAGCCCTGAGTCTCCAATTTCAGAGAGCAGTTTTCATGGTCACGGGCAGCACTAGAGCGACGCAGCCTGGGCCTAAAGAAGAAATCGACTCTGGAGGGAGCAAGGGCTCCCAAATATCTCTGAGGACACCCTCTGGACGCTGTTGCTTTGGTCTTTTGGTGTTGCTAATGCCCTTGGCTTTATTTTCCCCTCCCCTGCAGCATGTAGATTAATGCAAATTCCCTGCATTTCCCATAACCCCGCCCCCAAAGCTGGGTTACATAACTTCTGAGCCTCCTAAAGTGCTCCAAGCATTGTGCTTCAGGATGAAACCAGCTTTCCAACGTTCCAAGGCAAGAAGCATTGACCAGCTAAATAGGATTTGGAAGTTGCAAAGAGCAGGCCGGGTAACACATTTAGAGCAGTGTTAGAGCAGTGCCGTAGACAATTTTCTGGATCCTTGGATACAATAGCACAGGAAAATGTGGTTTATGTGGTCAAGCGTTGCTTATATGGGTTTAAAAAGAATATTGGCTTAAAATTGGCTGGCTCACATAAAGAGGAATTCTATAGCAAAAATATCTCATCAACATGAGGCTGACTTGAGGCTCTTTTAACATGATTGAGTTAAAAGATTTCAAAAGAAAAGAAATGAACAATGTAATTTGCTCTTATTGCTCCTACTATTATACTTAAAGTGACATGTTTATTTCTATTTTAATAAAAGATAGAAGCTAAAAATTCTCTTAAGTGTGAAACAGCTGGGTTTAGAGAGGGTTTGATTAATTAAGCCAGTAAATGCCTCACAAAAACACTCTACCATTTGGCTGAAAGATAGTCTCTGCTCGGGAGAGGGCTGAGGCTGCAATCACGAAAAACACTATTTTGCTGAAAACAGAGCACGTCGGTGGAGAGCAGATTGAATCCCATAATCAAATTTGTCATTTTAAAGTAGGCTAGATTTCTCTCTTAGTACAGGCATTAATTGAATACAAGACAGCCATCACACTGTGTTTTCAATCTATAGTAAAAATAATCTTCATTTCCCCAAGGCCCGCAGCTTTCATAAGAAGGCAGGAGTTTCTGGAGAAGAGCGTTGTGTTCCTCAGTCTGTAGACCCCGAGACACTGATTCACGGCAAGACTCACCGTGACAAGGTTTGTATTCCTCAAAACCAGAGATAAGCCAAGATTTTGCAAGGGACAAAAATCAACTCTAACTTAAGTGGAAAAGAAAAATTATTAGCTTATGGAGCTAAAGAACAGAGTGAAGACAGCAATAGCTACACTGCATTCAAACGACGTCCCTCTCTGTCACACACACACACAGCACACACATGCACACACAAACACACTCTCTCTCTGGGTTGGCCTAATCCCTCTGGCCAGCTGTCCCTATAAGTCTATCATACACCGTAGAGCACGCTATTCTACAGCCTTACTATCTCGCCCAAACAAGACAGACTTCTCCCAGTTTTTAAAATCCAGGGAAGGACTCTATTCAGGCAGCTGAGGTCACAAGTCCGTGACTGGATCAACCAGCAAGGCCAGGTGGACGGGTACCCTAATTGACTGCCCCACCAGAACCATATGTTTCAGGTGGGAGAAAGAGAAGTCCTCTAAAAAAGGGGATGCAATCTTCTGAGAAGACAAAACATTACTACTCCATGCTAACAAAGTTCCGATTCTGCCTTGTTTCCCAGAGCACAGACACAAAAGGCACAGGGAACCAAGGTGATCTACTTCTGACCTGTGCTGTCCAATATGGTGGCCACCAGCCATGTGTCTGTGAGCTCTTGAAATGTGCGTGAGATGTGCTGTAATGCAAAATATACCCTGAATTTTGAAGACATACTAAAAAAAGAAAAAGAGTGGCAACATGGTGAAACCTCGTCTCTACGAAAAAACACAAAAATTAGCTGGATGTGGTGGTACGCACCTGTAATCCCAGCTACTCAGGAGGCAGAGGCAGGATAATCACTTGAAACCTGGACGCAGAGGTTACAGTGAGCCAAGATCGTGCCACCGCACTCCAGCCTGGGTGATAGAGTGAGACTCCATCAAAAACCAAAAAAAAAATCTCATGAGTAATGGTTTATATTAATTACATATTGAAATAATATTTTGGATCTATCACATTAAATAAGATATATTATTCAAAATTTTTACTTCTTTAGTGTGGCTATTAGAACTTTTATAATTACATCGGTTATTACATTAGGTGACTTGTATTCTATTTCTTTGGGGCTGGCTGCCTTAGAAATTGGGGGTCACAAAGGCCTTGGGTCCTGCCTTACCCAATTGAGCCAAGTGCATCTAGCAAGCACTAGCTATATGAAAAGGAAAGTAGGATGGAATTAACTTCCATTTTTACACAGCATGTGATTAGGGTGCTCAGTGTGTCTGGTTAGATGACATCAACGTTTTTTCTTTGTACTTGCCAGAGTCCCTGCTTTGGTATCTCCCAGCCATGCCCTTAAGAGATTTCTATCAAAGATCATCATCCAGTTCTTTCAGGAGGCAGCAAGCAATAACCGATGCACACAGTTATAAATCTTTGTCTGGGTACCAAAGCCATACATAAATCCATAAGCTATCCCATCTTCCCATCATCCCATGAAGCAGGTGGAGCAGGCTGAAGAGTGATTCAGGGTAAAATGTACACTTTGTCAATGTCATTGTGTCACAAGGAGTCCAGGTCCTAGACGCAGCTACCTCCAGTCTGCAGCCTCTCTCCATGCCCTAGCAGTCTCATGAATCTGAACAGCTTTCCTGTCTGATGTTAGCTTATTTTCTAGTGTGACCCGTTTTTCTGCAAAAAGCCAATTTAGTGTGGTAAAGGGAAGAAAGGTCTGAGTTGGAAAATTCATTGCCTTCCACTCAGAAAGCTTTCAATGGGAAACAAATTTAGACAGGACAGTCTTGCTTCTCTGTATATGGAAAGCACAAAGGACTTTGTATATTTCATCAGCTTCCCCTCCCAGCATCCCAGAGAGGAGGAAAGCAAGTCTCTGCATCTGGCTGACAGGAGGATTTAGAGATGTCTATTTTAGTCAAGGCCTGCCCCTAAAAGCTTGTGACCTAAAAGAAGCCCTCCAACCTTCTTACCTCCTGGGCTCTGTCTCAGTTATAAAACAAGGCATCCAAGGACACTTAAGAAAATATTTCCAAATGCAAACTACAGGGTGCCCTGCTTCAATCTCTCCAAGAGCTGCCCATGCCAATGAAGTGCAGAGGTTTGCCGTGGCCTCTAAGAACCCACAGAATCTGACCACAGCCTGGGCCTCCAGCTCTTCTCCTGCTGCCTCCTTCACCTCTCACAGCTCTTCAGCCACATAAGCCCTGCCCTGCTTTAAGGAGAGGCAGCTGGTCCTGCCGTGGGGCCTTTCCTGGGGCAGTGTCCTCTGTCTGGAATGCTCATCCCAATAATCCTCGCCTCCGCCTCCTTAGAAGGATCTTCCTAGATCAGTCTGAGCAGTTTTCCATTTCATGCATCTAAGGAGTCAGAAGTTGTAGTTCAGGGCCATCTAGTTAACCAAGACTGGAGAGGTCAAGAGCCCAGAGAAAAGTCAAGCAGAGGCCGGGCGCGGTGGCTCAAGCCTGTAATCCCAGCACTTTGGGAGGCCAAGGCGGGCGGATCACGAGGTCAGGAGATCGAGACCATCCTGGCTAACATAGTGAAACGGCCATCTCTACTAAAAATATAATTAGCCAGGCGTGGTGGCGGGCACCTGTAGTCCCAGCTACTCGGGAGGCTGAGGCAGGAGAATGGCTCGAACCCGGGAGGTGAAGGTTGCAGTGAGCCGAGATCAGGCCATAGCACTCCAGCCTGGGCCACAGAGAGAAACTCCATCTCAAAAAGAAAGAAAGAAAGAAAATGTCAAGCAGAAAGGAGCTAGTCTAGCAGTCTCAGCCCCTTCCCCGCAGGTACCTCAGCCTATTTGTAAAAGGCATGAACCTAGAGAAGCAGAAAAAAAACAGCTATAAAAAGCCTGAGGAGTCACACAGGGCTTCTGGCACCATCACAGCACTGGAGAAATTCTTAAAAATGGAATTCAGGGTCTGACAAGGAAGAGCTGTCCTGATAACAGCCAGGCACTTAGATGGGGGCCCTGAAGAACCTTGTCCTAATGCGGCGTTTCTCAAAGTGAGATCCATGGATCCCTGGGGGTTCCAGACACTCTTCCAGGACATTCAGGAGCTCAGACTATTTCCATAATATCCCTTGCCTTTCTCACTGAATTGACATTTGCCCTAATGATGCAAAAGTGATAGTAGATGCCTCACCCCAAATTAAGGCAATGTCTCCAAAGTCATAGGAGTCACTGTATTCACCACCACCAGGCACTCACAGAAAAGGAACAAACAAGTAAAGTTAGTTTCCCCTAAGAATACCCTTGATGTTGCAGTAAAAATGATTAATTTTATTAAATCTTGACCTTTCAGCAAACATCGTTCTAATATGCTCTGTGATAAAATGAAGTACCTCTGATGAAAAATGAAATGTGATGGTCGCCTCTGGGAAAAGGAATCGTGTGATTTTTTTTTTTTTTTTTTTTTGAGTTGCTAGCTGCATTAGCCTCTTTTCATGGAATGACAATATTCCTTGAAGGAACAAGTAATAGATAAATAGATTTATCTATATACTATCTATTTATCTACCTATAGACAATACCCATAGGTAGATAGATCTATCTACCAACTGAAAGATAAATTATGGTTAGGCTTTATTTGAAAGACATTCTAAAAAATGTACAAAGTGAACCTGTCTCTTAAAGGAAAAAAATACTGAAGTATAGCATATAAAATTTGAATTTCAGTGAAAATTAGAATTTTGGAAAAATTGAATCTGTCACCAGGAACTTGGTAGCATCCCAGCAGCAAAAGTCTTCCCTGATAGGACTGATGATGATATTAATGAATACACTGTTTTGATTTTGTATAATAAGATGTGTCAACACTTACAAGATTTGTATAAGTCAACGACAAATATTTTTTGAATGACCAATGAATGATGTTATAAAATCATGCATCCATAAAAGTTTCATTCAAAGAGCAAGATAGAATAATGGCTTTCCAAGTAATAGAGTACGAAAAATTTCTTAATATCGTTTCAGATTTCACGTTGCGACCAATCTTTAAGAAACGACCACTTGTGGACTTTTGTTGTAGTATTAAAGAATAACCACAGTCTTCTGAAAAGGATATTGAAATACTCCACCCTTTTCCAATTACATATTGTGTGGAGCTGGATCTTCCTTACATGCCTTAATCAGAACAACGGATTGAAACAGATTGAACACAGAAGCAGATATGAGAATCTGTCTCTCATTAAGCCAGAAATCAGAGAGATTTGAAAAAATGCAAAACAATGTTACTCTTATGACTAAATTTTTTTTGTTTTTGAAGACAGAGATTTTTTTGTGAAATATATTATTTAGACTAACATGGAATAGGTTTATGATTATTGATTATTTTGATTACTATTTATAATTATTGATTATTCTGAGTAAATAATGAGTAATAATACTTTGAGTAATATTTGAGTAACAATATTTTGAGTAATAATATTTGAGTAATATTTTGAGTAAATAATTATTGATTATTTTCAGTAAATAATAAGCAAATGTAAAACTTGCTCAGTGTTTCATATGGCAAATATGAATATATGTAACCCATGTTAACAGAAGTTCTTTGGGTATCCCAGTAATTTTTAAGAGTATAAAGGAATCCTGAGACCAAAAGGTTTCAAAATTACTTATCTGGAACAATTGTCAAAATTGGCCATATGCCAGGTCTTAAGGAAAGTCATGACAAATCTTAGTTTTGAAATTAGTCAGAATGTGTTCTCTCATCACAGTGTAATGAAGTTTGACACCAATAAAAATACTTTAGAAATCCCCAATATTTAGAAATTAATCCATTCACTTTTCAATGTTCTATATCAAGAAGATATTCCAATAGAATTTAGAAAATATTTTCAAGTAAATTACAATAAAAAATGACATGTCAAAATTCATAGTATCTAAATAAAGGTGTACTTAGAGAAAAACTTATAGCATTAAATGTGTGTATTAGAAGAGAAGCTGAAAATAAGTGATCTAAATATCTATTTAGAAGAAGTAAGAACAACAAAAGCAAATTAAGTCCAAGAAAGCAGGAGGGGGAATAATAAGGTCAGAAATAATGGCTTAAAACACAAATATTCAATGGAGAATCAGCATAAAAGTTCGTTCTTCTTTGAAAAAATCTAAAAAGTTAATAAATACTTAAATCACTCATCAAGAAAATTGGAGAAGACATAAATTATCAAAATCAAAAATAAAAGGTGTCATTAAATAAATTTTAAGATGATATGAGAAAAGTATAAAGTTTAGAAAATCATAACTTACCAAAACTGAGAGAAATAGAAAACACGAATAGTTCTATACCTATTAAAGAAATTGAATCTCTAAGTCAAAATCTCCCTATAAGGAAAACTCCAGACTTGAATTCATTCAAATATTTTAAGAGGAAATGACATTAATCTTAAACATTTTCTTTTTCATAGAATATAAACATCTCTTCATTTGATGAGGAAGAAAAGCTTTGATGAAGAAACTTGACAAGAACTTTACAAGGAAGAAAAATTACCAACCAATTTCTCCTATCAACGTAGACGAAGAATTCTAAACAAAATGTGAGCACATTGAATTCCATTTTATGTAAATAGGATAAAACATTATGACAAAATCACGTTTATTGAACAATGCAAGATTGGTTTGCTATTCAAAAATCAATGAAATATGAATACATATGTAGAGAGACTAAATGTTAAGAAACTCGTGATTCCAGTCCAACATGTGAAGAGCTTGGAAATCTTCATATTAAAAAAAAAAAACTGAACAAACTGAAAATCAGTGGTTCTTCATCCATCAGAGAATTGAGGTCCCAAGGCAATCTGCTGCCTTGAAAATGAAAGAAGCAGACAGACAGATATAGAGAATTTCAGCTTAAAAGGAGCAGAAGGTCTTAGCTGGACAAGTTCAAGTTTAAAACTCCAGGAGGGGCCAATCTTGGAGACGCCACACAGCTGGGAATTTCACCTCCAGAAGCCCTACTGTTACCCGAAAGGGGTCCCAAGCAGACCCCCAGAGAGGGTTCTTAGATCTTGTGCAACAAAGAATTCCAGGCAAGTCCATAAAGTGAAAACAAGTTTGTTAGAAAAGTAAAGAAACAAAAGAATGGCTACTCCATAGGCAGAGCAGACCCAAAGGCTGTTGGTTGCTCATTTTTATGGTTATTTATTGATTATATGCTAAACAAGTGGTGGATTATTCATGCCTTTCCTTTTTAGACCATACAGGGTAACTTCCTGACATAGCCACGGCATTTGTAAACTGTCGTGGTGCTGGTGGGAGTGTAGCAGTGAGGATGACCAGGTCACTCTCATCGCAATCTTGGTTTCGATGGGTTTGGGCTGGCTTCTTTACTGCAACCTGTCTTATTGGCAAGGTTGTGATGACCTGTATTTTGTGCCTACCTCCTATCTCATTCTGTGACTCAGAATGTCTGTCTGGGAATGCAGCCCAGTAGGCCTCAGCCTTATTTTACCCAGCCCCTATTCAAGATGGAGTTACTCTGGTTCAAACACGCCTCTGACACTGCCAACTACTCACTGTGAAAGTCCCTCATACTCCTCACCCGGGGAGGGAGATCGCAACCATTTTAAGATATGGCCAGGGCATTTTGCTCTCCTTAACTGCTGCCCTCAAGGGACAGCATTTTGCTAGAGCCTAACTTGGGATTTTATCTGGGCCTAATTGGCCTGAGAGAACGGAAATTCTCAATTCGGGCTCTAAAGACTGAGCCCTGATCAGAGGGCTACAGGACGCTTCCCTCCCCCACACCTCATTGCCTTCTCAATAGAGCTCCTGTGTAATAATGGAGGATCAAGAACTGCAAGCCTTACACCCTATTTAAAATTTTTTAAAGTCTCTAGGAAAACCCAAAGACAACAGGGGAGACAAACTCAAGAGCACTAGAGGAAATGTTAGCCTCTGACACCACAGCCACAGTAAACAGTGTTGACAAAAAGAGTCAAACTGTAAAATATTTTAAGAGATTTATTCTAAGACAAATATGAGTGACCATGGCCTGGAACACAGCCCTCAGGAGGTCCTGAGAATATGTGCCCAAGCTGGTTGGGGTGCAGCTTGGTTTTATATATTTTAGGGAGGCATGAAACATCAATCAAATGCATTTAAGAAATATACTGGTCTAGTTCAGAAAGGTGGGACAACTCAAAGCCGGGGGAGGGGGGATTCCAGGCTATAGGTAAATTTAAACATTGAGTTTATCTGAAGACCTGGAATCAACAGAAAGGAAATGTTCAGGTTAAGATAAAGGATTGTGGAGATCAAGTTTTACTGTGCAGAGGAAGCTTTCAGATAGCCGACCTCAGAGCAAGCGTGTTGTAAAATGCTTATTATCAGACCTAAAAGGGTGCTGGGCTCTTAGTTGATTATCTCCTGGATCTGGAAAGGAAAGAAGAGAAAAAAAGGGGAAAGGAGATTCTCTATAGAATATGGATTTTCCCTCACAAGGGACGACTTTGCAGGACCATTTCAAGGTATGACAGAGAAATATGTTTTGGGGTGAAATATTTTGATTTTCTTCCTGTTATGCCAGAATCAGATTGGAAGGTAAGTGATGACATACAGGGTTAAATCAAACCCATCTGATGAGAATTTATGGTTTGTAGGGCATGACTCCCCAGACTCCTTAGATAGGAATTTAGGCAAGACAAAAAAAATCAGAGCTTAGTCCTCAACAGTAAACACAGCCCAACACCTAATCAGATAAACATAAACTTCACACTCACGTCCTACATACCTCAGTTCCACTCAATACATCGTGTTGGGCTTTCAACAAAAATATTACAAAGTGGCTAAAAGCTGAAACACACAGTCTGAAGAGACAAAGCAAGATCAGAACCAACTTTTGCAAAAATCACGAGAAATCATGAGAATCAGGGAAATTATGACAATGAAAGAGATCTGACTGAGCTGGCTCCATCTTGCCTTTAATCTCCAAACTGCCCTTGTTCATTCCTGGGCGTAGGTCAAAGTAACTTAGGGAGAAATTTAGTTTATAGATTAACTTTGAAACAAAGATAATAACAGCCCCTCCCTGAAAAAAAGAAATACCTCTTTTTGTCTAGGGACCAAACTGCCTTTGTAAAACTAACGAATTAGCCACAAGGTTAGAAATTATGGCACAGGAGTCAAACATCCAGAGTCCACAATTGTTCCTATAGGTAACACTACTATTGTGAAAGCTAAGATTGGTGTCTAAGGTATTCTTCAGACCCTGCATTCTGGTGGACCAGCTGGCACCACCCAGACCAATACACTGGCTCATCTGGTCTTGTGAACCCCACCCAGGAACTGACTTAGTGCAAGAGGACAGCTTTGTCCCCTGTGATTTCATTGCTGATCCAACCAGTCAGCATTCCCCATTCCCTAGTCCCTGCCCACCAAACAATCTTTAAAAATCCTAGACTCTGAGTTTTCAGGAAGGTTGAGTTTTAGTAATAATAAAATTCTATTCTCTAATTTAGCTGGCTGTGTATGTATTAAACTCTTTCTCTACTGCAATTTCCCTGTCTCGATAAATTTTCTCTATCTGGACAGTGAGTAAGAACTCATGGGATGGTTACAGAACCAAACTCAGATATGGCACAGATTTTGAAATTATCAGAAAGGTAATTAAATAACTACAGTAGGCCAGGTTTGGTGGCTCATGGCTGTAAGCCCAGCGCTCTGTGAGGCCAGGGTGGGTGGATCACTTGAGCCCAGGAGTTCAAGATCAGCCTGGGCAACATGGAGAAAACCCATCTCTACAAAAAATTAAAAACTTAACCAGGTGTATTTGAAGCCAGTCTGACCAACATGGTAAAACCCTGACTCTACTAAAAATACAAAAATTAGCCACGCATGGTGGCACATGCCTGTAATCCCAGCTACTCAGGAGGTTGAGGCAGGAGAATTGCTTAAACCCGGGAAGCAGAGGTTGCAGAGATTGCGCCACTACACTCCAGCCTGGGCAACAGAGTGAGACTCCATCTTAAAAAAAAAAAAAACAAACAAAAAACTTAACCAGGTATAGTGGTATGCCCCTGTAATTCCAGCTACTCAGAAGGCTGAGGTAGGAGGATAGCTAGAGCCTGGGGAACAGATGTTGCAGTGAGCTGAGATTGCATCACTGCACTCCAGCCTAGGTGACAGAGTAAGACCCTGTCTCAAAAAATGAATAAAAGACTACAGTTAACATACTAAGAATTTTAATGGACAAAGTGAACAACAGGAAATAGAGCCAATGGTTCATACAGGCAGAGAGATGGAAACTCAAAAAGGGAAAAGAGTTAAAAGGAAATGCTAGATATCAAAAGCACTATAACAGAAATGAAGAATCTTCTTTTTTTTTTTTTTTTTGAGACGGAGTCTCGCTCTGTCGCCCAGGCTGGAGTGCAGTGGCCGGATCGCAGCTCACTGCAAGCTCCGCCTCCCGGGTTCCCGCCATTCTCCTGCCTCAGCCTCCCGAGTAGCTGGGACTACAGGCGCCCGCCGCCTCGCCCGGCTAGTTTTTTGTATTTTTTAGTAGAGACGGGGTTTCACCGTGTTCGCCAGGATGGTCTCGATCTCCTGACCTCGTGATCCGCCCGTCTCGGCCTCCCAGAGTGCTGGGATTACAGGCTTGAGCCACCGCGCCCGGCCAGAAGAATCTTCTTGATGGGCTCATCACAGACTGGACACGTTCAAGGAGAGAATCAATGAGCCTGAAGGTATGTCAATAGGAGCTTCCACAACTGAAATGTGGAGAGAAAGAAGAATGAGAAAGATGGAACAGAATATTCAAGAACTATGGAATAATTACAAAAGGTATAAATTATTATTATAATAACAATACCATTTGTGACAATATCAAAAAGCATTATATACCAAAAAATAAATCAAGCAAAAGATTGCAAGTCCTCTACCTACAAAACCACAAAACATCATTGAGAGAAAGTAAATAAGATATAAATAAATGAAAGAATATACAATGTTCGTAGATTGCAAGACTCAAAATTGAAAGATGTTCATTCTTTCCAAATTTACTCAGTACAATTCTGATTAAAAACTTTGGAAAGTTTTTTTCTATGAAAACTGAAAAACTGATTCTGTAATTTTTATGAAATGCAATGGTACAAGTGCAGCAAAGACAATCTCAAAGAACAAAGTTGGAAGTTTCAAATGACTACATATCAAGACTTATTATGAAGTCATGGAAACTAAGACACAACTAGAGACAAATAGATGAAGAAAACAAAACAAGATCACAACAGTCCACAAAAGGTCACTTTACTTATGGAAAAGGTTACATATTATAGCAGTGGGGAAAAGTTGATCTTTTCACTAAAGTCAACTGGGCATATTTATTTTTAAAAATGAATCTTGACTCCTTTCTTATATTTTAAACAAAAATCAATTCCATTTGGATTATAGGCATAAATGTGAAAGGTAAAAAAAAAAATAAGTTTCTAGAAGAGAATTTAAGAGAATGTCTTCATGATCTTGGGTAGCCAAAGTTCCCTTTTTAAGGAACAATGAATCCTAAACATAACAGGAAAATAATACAAGTTAGACTATATTAAAATTAAGAACTTGTGTTCCACAAAGACAAAATGAAAAGAGTGTAAAGGAAACCACAGAATAGAGAAAACATATGTAATAAATGTATCTGATAGAGAATTCAAATCTACTATACATAGGGAAGTCTTCAAATCAATTTTAAGAAAGAAAAAG